CCCGCCACATCAGATCTTGCAGAGAAGGCATGCTGCGGATACCGTTGGCTGGGCTGCACTTGGTGGGTCCCAGGGGACTCTGGCACCCACCTTATGGAATATCCTCTCTCCTGAGATTAGATTAGCACCATATCTTTTGCTGTTCTGAAAGGCCCTCAAGACCTGGTTATGTGATCAGGCCTGGGGCTCCCAGGGCCTGCTTAGATTGCTCCATTGCTGAAGGGGCCATTTTTAATTCCCCCTTTCCTTATGGTTTGGTTTTTTATGGTACTTATTAATATGGTTTTTTTATATTATTTTCCTGTTCTTTTTATATTTGTCTTTTTATCTGATTGTTGTACGCCACCCAGGGTTGCTTTGGCGAGATGGGCGGCTGTATAAATTTGCTAAATAAATAAATCTTTGGGGCCTCAGCTTGTGCTAGGTGTGCCGGTGAGCTGAATTTCTGGTAACTGTATGGACATAGACTACCCTTCTTGACTTTTTATAGTATTATCTTACTTCCAAGGACATTCCTATAATCTCTTTGATCCCATCCATCCACTTGATCCATCTTCCTCTTCTTCCCTCAACTTTCATCAGCTCAACAATCATGGTTTTCAGTCCATTGTCTGTTCACATCCATGTGCCCAAAGTATGTGAATTTCTGCTTCCATGCTGATTGTCACCTCAAGAGAATGGTCAGTCTTTATGTAGTCCAGAACATTGGTTTTTCTTATACTCCATGAAGTTACCATCTTGGTAACCATCTTCAAATCCAGAACTCAAAGGAATTTTTCTTGTTTCTCTCATACCATCTCAGAGTCCATATATAGACACTCGCTTCAATCATTCTGATCCTTGTCATACTGAAATATGCTTCATGATTTTGTCTTAATTAGTCGTTGCATTCCTTCCTATGTCGCTTTCATTTAAAAACTGTTTTCTGAAAGCACAGCAGAAGCATTGAATTCTCCCTGAATGCGATGATGGCTTGTCTTCAAACTCATCAGCTTCTGCTGCAAATGCACTGTAGCAACTAGATGCCAGCTTTTTTTTCCTGTGACTTGTCTTCTTTTTTTTGGTGATCCGTTCTTTAGATGCTAAACTGAACATTCCTGTGAGTGGAATGATCACTCTGGTTTTGAACAACCTGCCAGGTTATTCAAACAGTACGAGATTAATGGCTCTCAATGTCTGGAAAATTTTGTCCACTCTGGAATGTCAGAGCTTTCAGCTAATGGGAAGGGCAAGATAAATGTCAGTAGATGATTGAAAATAGGGCGGGGAAGTTGAAATTTCACAACGGTTGGCTGGAAGTACAGTTGGGTGCATTGGGTTCAGCGTAGCAATATTGCCAAGGATCCAAGTCATCCTGCTTCCCAAATTTCTAAAGCTTCAAATACTACAGAATGCAGTGTAACTTGCTAATGCCTGTCCCTGGAATTTCCTACTTCTTGGGAAGTGTGGTGAGTCACCCCTTTTCTGTAACAATCCTATAGGGCACTGCCAATTTATAAAGCCCATATGAAAATAGAACACCAGACTCCTTTCAGCAGGCAGTTTTTTATGGCAATGTTTTGTTACACTTTCCTAAAACGACTG